TCTGCTGATCCACCTAGTGGATCAGGAACAGGCCAGAGACCTTCCCCTCTGGTGGAACCCACAGTCCAGGTCAACTCCTCCCTACTTGATACCGGAGTTGGGGGAATGGAGGGAACTCGGGCCTGCCCTCTAGTCTGGGTTCCAGCCCAGGGCCCTGTGGATTGCAGCTGTCTATAGTGGCTCCTGTAACAGCTGCATGGTAGTTACAACTCCCTGGGCTACTTCCCCATGGCCTCCTCCCAACACCTTTTTTATCCTCCCCACAGGACCTTCCTCCTGATGTCTGATAATGCTTGTACTTCTCTGTCTTCCGATAGTATGCCTTCTCACTCTCAGCTTCTTGCTCCCAGCTCCACACATGCACACCACAAACTGAAGTGAGCTCCTTTTTAAACCCAGGTGTCCTGATTAGCCTGCCTGTCTTAATTGATTCTGGCAGCTTCTTGATTGGCTGCAGGTGTTCTAATCAGCCAGTCTGCCTTAATTGTTTCCAGAAAGTTCCTGATTGTTCTGGAACCTTCCGTGTTACCTTACCCAGGGAAAAGGGACCTAATTAACCTGGGGCTAATATATCTACCTTCTATCACTCTCCTGTAGCCATCTGGCCCGACTCTGTCACACCCTCTGAACAGGTGAATTAAGTCTGGGTACCACTGTTGTCTCACCCAGGATGGTGCTGTTAAAATTACCATAGCTATGCCTTGTTTTGTTTTATCACTCTCTGAATGGGGAAAATGCATACATAAAGCCTTGACCCCAATCTATCAGAAATACCCCTGACACTGAGTCTCTATCTTTATCTGCCCTTGAGCAAACAGGGTCTCTTCCTTTGATAACACTTTTTTATTAAATAGTCATCTAGATAAGAATATATATATAAGCCCACTGTTTTTTCTTAGATATGCTGCTACAACCAAGAGGCATTTTGTAAACACTCTTGGGACTGTGGATAAACCAAAAGGGAGGACCCTGTACTGACCTTTCCTACCATGAAACAGATTTTTGATGACATGATCATATTGAAATGTGGAAATACACATCTGATAAATTCTTAGTTGCAAACCAAGTCTGAAGGGGGAAAAGGGATTATAGAAATTAGAGAGAATATGTGGAAACTAAGCTTTTTTTATAAAAATGTTTAATTCCCTGAGATCGAAAATGGGGCGAAGGCTTCTGGGTTTTTTCAGAATTAGAAAATAATGTGAATAAAACCCCTTCCCTTTGTGCTTATGAGGTACTTACTCTATTACTCCTGATCCAATTTTTCCCCATATAAATGATATTGACATCTAGCCATAAAAGCTTCATAATTTGCATTTCACCTATGTAACATAGCTGCAGGAAATATTTTTCTCCCATACACATCCAGTCTTTTCCCTTCCTTCTTAGAAGGAGTAGAGAGTGCACTTGTGAGACCTTGTTCCTGTGTAGTGCAGTCTCCACTCCTAAAGAGTTAGGAAAAGGATGCATATAGAAGGTAGCCAGACCTTCCTGAGGGGAAAAAGTACAATTTGTCAGCCTTTTTGGGCATAGGGTTGTGCAGACTAGGGTGTATTCCAGATCATTTTTGCTGGTTGGGACAATCCTTCTAATGAAAGAAGTGTGACTCTCTAGTTGCTTTCCCTAAAATATCAAACAAAGAGTGAGAAGAGTATTCAGCAGAAATGGAGGGAATGTCCAAAATCTTTATCATGCAATCCACCAGCTCATAGAATAATACCACATCCTCTGATGGCAATGCAGCTGATGTGACCCCCCCCCCCCCATTCCCACAGTTTCCTCTGGAGACATCATCACTCTAGAGGCTGGATCCAATTCTTGTATGTCTGCTATTTCTTCCTCTCTTGAAAGTGCATCTCTTACAACTGTTGGAGATCTCTCTAGACTTTGAGGCATCATCAGATCCATGTCTTACCGCATCAGTGAATGACTATTCCCAGGCATAGGGACATGTTGATAAGGAGCAGGACATGGTCAGTGTGGCCAACAAACTCAAGGAGGTTCTTGCCAAAAAAAAAGCCAAATTCAGATCTGGGTGGAAGTTTTTGTTCATATGGAGCCAAAGGGAATGAGGTAAGATTGTTTGATATCTCTGGTTCCATTGATTACAATCTTCTAGGAGAGTAGCAAAAACCTCTTCTGTGGAGATCCAGAAAAGGTCTTCAGTGGAGGAAGCAAGGGAGAAATTCTGACTTAATCAGTTCTCCCTCTTTTCTCAGGGAAGCATCAAACTGGACCAGTGTGAAGAGAATGTCCAGTTCTTACACAATCAACATACATGGGTTAATCACCAATGGAGTCAGAGGCGGATCCAATCGGTGAACTTGCACTGCAACTACTGTTTGATGCAGTGCTGTGTCAGCCCTGGGTGCTGAATCCTTATCTTCCCCTCAAAACAGTTCCAGAGCCTTAACTTTCAGAACTGGTCTGATGCAATTGGATCCAAAGAAGAATATCTCCTGCCTCTACCACAAGAATCTTTACTTAAGGCAGGTTACTTGAAGACTCTTTGGTCAAGGGGGTCTTTCTTTTGCAGATTGACCTTTTTCAAAGAAACAGATACCGACAAGGATGGGGCATTCATGCTTCATAACATCTGGTGCATCATCTCATGGATTGGCTCAGGAGACAGAGGCCAGCGCAATGGTATGGGAGGCTTTCCTTTCTAATTCCACATCCTTTATGTTGACAGTTGAGGAGGTGGTTTTCTTTCTCTTCTGTGGATTCACTCAGAACCAAAGCTGGTCTCTGAGTTTTGTTTGAACTTTGCACCCACTCGATTCCACAAGGTTTTTCTGTAATAAAAATCACCCGAAGCCTGTTCTGCCTCTCCTTATTTGCTCATGTTGTTCAAGCCTTACAGTCAAGCACTTTGAGCATTGTGACTCTGACAGACCAGGTGCCAACTAATGCCTAGGCCCCTAGGCCTCAACTGAACACTGACAAATACATAGCTGGAGCCAGTCTGGTTCACTTGTGTGTTAGTACTGTTAAAATAGGTATGTTATAAAAAAATTTTAGTGTTTAGACTTTATGGAATGCTTGTAAATTACTGCAATGCAATAATCTCGCTTATAATATCTGTATCCCATGTTATAAGGTAATATTTAAGTGTTTGCTCTGTAACTGTAAATCACCAGTCAGGAGAGAAGCATTACCAAGAGTAAAATACTAATTTGGCATAGGAGGTGTTCTCTCCTGCCCAACAAAAGGTCCATCAACACCAGAGGACAAAATACTTTGTTTGCTCCCCCTACCCCACTTCCTTCCACTAAGAGGAGACATGCAACTGAATGCCTCCCAAAGGTTGAATGTGCAACTTGAAGTAGAAGTGGGGGAGGAATAAAAAGCCCTAACAAGGAAAACTTCATATTTTATGCTGCTTGGACTCTGGGGGACAAGGATTACTAAGCATATGCAAAAGATCACCAGTACCTGGCATGGGTTTGCCCTAAGGACATATAGAGCTTGCTTATCATAGGAGCTTTTATTACCTTTTGAAACCTGAGTGTAACTCAGTTGTATGAGTGTGTTTATCTGCTTCAACTTTGTAAATAACTCTTATTGCCTTTTCCTGGTTAATAAATCTTGAGATAGTTTATTATAGGATTGGCTACAAGTGTTGTCTTTGGTGTAAGAGCTAAGGTGTAATTGACCTGGAGGAAGTGACTGGCCCTTTTGGACTGGGAGTAACCTGAATATTGATGTGATCTTTAGTGTAAGGGATATTCTATCACAAAGTTAAGCTTACCTGGATGGCACGATAGTCCTCTTGGACACTCCGATCTATCTGTGACTCTTGGTTAAGGCTGTTATAGTGCTTGAGGAGTTCACACATGATACTTAGTTGGTGAAATCTATGTATAGAACTCACAACCAATTTGGGGTTTGTGCCCTGCTTCTTAACAGTCTGCCCTGCAGTTGGTACTCATGCTCTTGGGTCACGGCAGGACAGCTTGACATCAGGAACATCGTCCGACACCAGGAACACCGCTAGGTGTGACATGCACCCCTTAAATCCCAGCGATTTAGTCTTTGGTTCCACTATCTCCACACAGAAGATAATGACTTATAACTAACTTAATCAAATACTAAAATACGAACTAACCAACTCAATCAAAAACTAGCCACGGATCCAGGAGTATCCTGGAGTAAAGCTTAATCTGTTCACATAGTCATGGCTGGAAGGAACCGAGGTGGCTGGAGCACCACACACCTTTTCTATCCTCACTCTAGAGCATTTGACATTCACTGAGGAGAGGGGTGAGGAAGACACATGAGTATGGCTAAGATTTTTGTCATGTATATTTTTAGTAAAAGTCACGGACAAGTCATGGGCAATAAAGAAAAATTCATGAAAGCAGTGATCTGTCCGTGACTTTTACAAAAAATATCCCTGACAAAATGCTGGGTCCCCACACCGTCTGCAGAGGTTGTGCAGCTGTGGGGGCCTCTTCAAGCTCTGAGGTCCCCCACGCCTGGGGGCTGGGAGCTCCAGGGTCCCCCCACAGCCTGCTGTGACCTGGAGCTTTACGGTACCCCTGCTGCTCCAGGGAGCCCGCACCGGGGGTACCCTGCAGCTCCCAACCGGTGCCGGCGGTGGGGGGATCCTGCAACTCCCAGCCGCTGGGGCTGAATTCACAGAGGTCGCTGGAAGTCACGGACTTTGTTACTTCCCCAACCTCTGTGGAAAAAATTGTAGCCTTATACATGATGATCCAACGGCTACGCCTAGCTAGAATACTACTGTTCAGGGTGTACTAGTTGAAGCCGTCCAAGAGTCAGACTGTGCAGAGGACACTAAAAGAACAAGGTGATGGCAGCAAATGGCATGTTAGTTCCACAATGTAATTAATTTACATGTTTGTGCTATGTGGGTTTACTTAGGAGGGGATTGGTTAAATGGGATGAAAAGGGAAGGGAAAATGGACGTGAAGGGGTCAGGGCAGGGGAGGAGGGGCAGGTGTTGAGTGAAGCTGAGGTGAAGAAACTAGGCCCTGGTCTACACTAGGACTTTAGGTCGAATTTAGCAGCGTTAAATCGATTTAAACCTGCACCCGTCCACACAATGAAGCCCTTTATTTCGACTTAAAGGGCTCTTAAAATCGATTTCCTTACTCCACCCCTGACAAGTGGATTAGCGCTTAAATCGACGTTGCCGGCTCGAATTTGGGGTACTGTGGACACAATTCGATGGTATTGGCCTCCGGGAGCTATCCCAGAGTGCTCCATTCTGACCGCTCTGGACAGCGCTCTCAACTCAGATGCACTGGCCAGGTAGACAGGAAAAGAACCGCGAACTTTTGAATCTCATTTCCTGTTTGGCCAGCGTGGCAAGCTGCAGGTGACCATGCAGAGCTCATCAGCACAGGTGACCATGATGGAGTCCCAGAATCGCAAAAGAGCTCCAGCATGGACTGAACGGGAGGTACGGGATCTGATCGCTGTTTGGGGAGAGGAATCCGTGCTATCAGAACTCCGTTCCAGTTTTCGAAATGCCAAAACCTTTCTGAAAATCTCCCAGGGCATGAAGGACAGAGGCCATAACAGGGACCCGAAGCAGTGCCGCGTGAAACTGAAGGAGCTGAGGCAAGCCTACCAGAAAACCAGAGAGGCGAACAGCCGCTCTGGGTCAGAGCCCCAAACATGCCGCTTCTATGATGAGCTGCATGCCATTTTAGGGGGTTCAGCCACCACTACCCCAGCCGTGTTGTTTGACTCCTTCAATGGAGATGGAGGCAATACAGAAGTAGGTTTTGGGGACGAAGAAGATGATGATGAGGAGGTTGTAGATAGCTCACAGCAAGCAAGCGGAGAAACCGGTTTTCCCGACAGCCAGGAACTGTTTCTCACCCTAGACCTGGAGCCAGTACCCCCCGAACCCACCCAAGGCTGCCTCCTGGACTCAGCAGGCGGAGAAGGGACCTCTGGTGAGTGTACCTTTTTAAAATGCTATACATGGTTTAAAAGCAAGCATGTGAAAGGATTACTTTGCCCTGGCATTTGCGGTTCTGCCTTTGCAAAAGGTTTCTGGGGAGGGCAGCCTTATTTCGTCCTTCATGGTAGGACACTTTACCACTCCAGGCCAGCAACACGTACTGGGGAATCACTGTAGAACAAAGCATTGCAGTGTATGTTTGCTGGCATTCAACCAAAATCCGTTCACGCGGTGGGAGGAGGCAAAATGCGACCTTGTAACGAAAGCACATGTGCTATGTATGTAATGTTAACAGCAAGGTTTACCCTGAAAGAGTGTAGCGACTGTTTTATAAAATGTGTCTTTTTAAATACCGCTGTCCCTTTTTTTTTCTCCACCAGCTGCATGTGTTTCAATGATCACAGGATCTTCTCCTTCCCAGAGGCTAGTGAAGCTTAGAAAGAAAAAAAAACGCACTCGCGATGAAATGTTCTCCGAGCTCATGCTGTCCTCCCACACTGACAGAGCACAGACGAATGCGTGGAGGCAAATAATGTCAGAGTGCAGGAAAGCACAAAATGACCGGGAGGAGAGGTGGAGGGCTGAAGAGAGTAAGTGGTGGGCTGAAGACAGGGCTGAAGCTCAAAGGTGGCGGCAGCGTGATGAGAGGAGGCAGGATTCAATGCTGAGGCTGCTGCAGGACCAAACCAGTATGCTCCAGTGTATGGTTGAGCTGCAGCAAAGGCAGCTGGAGCACAGACTGCCACTGCAGCCCCTCTGTAACCAACCGCCCTCCTCCCCAAGTTCCATAGCCTCCACACCCAGACGCCCAAGAACGCGGTGGGGGGGCCTCCAGCCAACCAGCCACTCCACCACAGAGGATTGCCCAAAAAAAAGAAGGCTGTCATTCAATAAATTTTAAAGTTGAAAACTTTTAAAGTGCTGTGCTTAAAGTGCTGTGTGGCATTTTCCTTCCCTCCTCCACCACCCCTCCTGGGATACCTTGATAGTCATCCCCCTATTTGTGTGATGAATGAATAACGAATGCATGAATGTGAAGCAACAATGACTTTATTGGCTCTGCAAGCAATGATTAAAGGGAGGAGGGGAGGGTGGTTAGCTTACAGGGAAGTAGAGTGAACCAAGGGGTGGGGGGGTTCATCAAGGAGAAACAAACAGAACTTTCACACCGTAGCCTGGCCAGTCATGAAACTGTTTTTCAAAGCTTCTCTGATGCGTACCGCGCCCTCCTGTGCTCTTCTAACCGCCCTGGTGTCTGGCTGCGCGTAACCAGCAGCCAGGTGATTTGCCTCAACCTCCCACCCCGCCATAAACGTCTCCCCCTTACTCTCACAGATATTGTGGAGCACACAGCAAGCAGTAATAACAGTGGGAATACTGGTTTCGCTGAGGTCTAAGCGAGTCAGTAAACTGCGCCAGCGCGCCTTTAAACGTCCAAATGCACATTCTACCACCATTCTGCACTTGCTCAGCCTGTAGTTGAACAGCTCCTGACCACTGTCCAGGCTGCCTGTGTATGGCTTCATGAGCCATGGCATTAAGGGGTAGGCTGGGTCCCCAAGGATACATATAGGCATTTCAACATCCCCAACAGTTATTTTCTGGTCTGGGAATAAAGTCCCTTCCTGCAGCTTTTGAAACAGACCAGAGTTCCTGAAGATGCGAGCATCATGCACCTTTCCCGGCCATCCCACGTTGATGTTGGTGAAACGTCCCTTGTGATCCACCAGAGCTTGCAGCACTATCGAAAAGTACCCCTTGCGGTTTATGTACTCGCCGGCTTGGTGCTCCGGTGCCAAGATAGGGATATGGGTTCCATCTATAGCCCCACCACAGTTAGGGAATCCCATTGCAGCAAAGCCATCCACTATGACCTGCACATTTCCCAGGGTCACTACCCTTGATATCAGCAGATCTTTGATTGCGTGGGCTACTTGCATCACAGCAGCCCCCACAGTAGATTTGCCCACTCCAAATTGATTCCCAACTGACCAGTAGCTGTCTGGCGTTGCAAGCTTCCACAGGGCTATCGCCACTCGCTTCTCAACTGTGAGGGCTGCTCTCATCTTGGTATTCATGCGCTTCAGGGCAGGGGAAAGCAAGTCACAAAGTTCCATGAAAGTGCCCTTACGCATGCGAAAGTTTCGTAGCCACTGGGAATCGTCCCAGACCCGCAACACTATGCGGTCCCACCAGTCTGTGCTTGTTTCCCGAGCCCAGAATCGGCGTTCCACAGCATGAACTTGCCCCATTAGCACCATGATGCATGCATTGTCAGGGCCCATGCTTTCAGAGAAATCTGTGTCCATGTCCTGATCACTCACGGGACCGCGCTGACGTCGCCTCCTCGCCCGGTATCGCGTTGCCATGTTCTGGTGCTGCATATACTGCTGAATAATGTGTGTGGTGGTTAATGTGCTCCTAATTGCCAAAGTGAGCTGAGCGGGCTCCATGCTTGCCGTGGTATGGCGTCCGCACAGAAAAAAGGCGCGGAACGATTGTCTGCCGTTGCTCTGACGGAGGGAGGGGCGACTGACGACACGGCTTACAGGGTTGGCTTCAGGGAGCTAAAATCAACAAAGGGGGTGCCTGTACATCAAGGAGTATTTCAGGCAGGACTGCACGGAGGGTTCCAATAAGAAATGGTGCACCTAAGTTATCGTTGTTATTGGAACAAGGAGGTTAGCCTGGCCTCTGATTGATACATGGCTAGATTTACCTCGCTGCACCTTCTCTGTGAGTGACTGCAGTGTGACCTAGAGGAATGAGTCCCCTAGACAGGGGAGGAGGCAAATGAGTACAAAACAAATCTGGTCTATTTCTTGTTTTGACCCACTCCATCTATCTTTTACATCTTTGGCTGGCAGCAGACGGTGCAGAAGGACTGAATGCCATCCACATCTCATGGCTGCTCGGCAGAAGATGGTACAGTACGACTGCTAGCCATCCCCATCTCTTGCCTGCCTGGCAGAAGATGGTGCAATACGACTGCTAGCAATCCTCATCTCTTGCCTGCCTGGCAGAAGATGGTACAGTACGACTGCTAGCAGTCCGTACGCCTGCCCGCTCACCATAAGACGGTTCAATAGGACTGACTGCAGGACTAAAGAGAATGACCTGGTCAAGTCACTCCAAATTTAGTCCCTGCGCCCATGTCTGCCCAGGCGCTCCCAGCCGAGCGGCCAGGAGCACCTCGGACACGATGAGGACGACTACCAATCGTATTGCACCGTCTGCTGCCAGAAGGCAAGGGGTTGCTGCTACTGTGCAGCAAAGCCGTACGCGTCTGCCAGCACCAGGAGACATAGGGTGACGGTTACCTGAGCGGGCTCCATGCTTGCCGTGGTATGGCGTCTGCACAGGTAACTCAGGAAAAAAGGCGCGAAATGATTGTCTGCCCTTGCTTTCACGGAGGGAGGGAGGGAACGGGGGCCTGACGACACGTACCCAGAACCACCCGCGACAATGTTTTAGCCCCATCAGAGTGCTCCATTGTGACTGCTCTGGACAGCACTCTCAGATGCCCGATTGTTTGCCATTGCTCTGACGCTGGGAGGGGCGCTTACAGGGTTGGCTTCAGGGAGCTAAAATCAACAAAGGGGGTGGCTTTACATCAAGGAGTATTTCAGGCAGGACTTCACGGAGGGTTCCAATAAGAAATGGTGCACCTAAGTTATTGTCCTTATTGGAGCAAGAAGGTTAGCCTGGCCTCTGATTGATACATGGCTAGATTTACCTCGCTGCACCTTCTCTGTAAGTGACTGCAGTGTGATCTAGAAGAATGAGTCCCCTAGACAGGGGAGGGGGGAAGCAAATGAGTACAAAACAAATCTGGTCTATTTCTTGTTTTGATCCACTCCATCTATCTTTTACATCTTTGGCTGGCAGCAGACGGTGCAGAAGGACTGCATGCCATCCACATCTCATGGCTGCTCGGCAGAAGATGGTACAGTACGACTGCTAGCAGTCCGTATCGCCTGCCCGCTCACCATAAGACGGTTCAATAGGACTGACTGCAGGACTAAAGAGAATGACCTGGTCAAGTCACTCCAAATTTAGTCCCTGTGCCCATGTCTGCCCAGGCGCTCCTGATCGACCTCACAGAGGCGACCAGGAGCACCTCAGACATGACGATGACGGCTACCAGTCGTACTGTACCGTCTGCTGCCACAAGGCAAGGGGTTGCTGCTACTGTGTAGCAATGCCGTACCGCGTCTGCCAGCACCCAGGAGACATAGGGTGACGGTTACCTGAGCGGGCTCCATGCTTGCCATGGTATGGCGTCTGCACAGGTAACTCAGGAAAAAAGGCGCGAAATGATTGTCTGCCCTTGCTTTCACGGGGGGAGGGAGGGAACGGGGGGCTGACGATATGTACCCAGAACCACCCACGACAATGTTTTAGCCCCATCAGGCATTGGGATCTCAACCCAGAATTCCAATGGGCAGCGGAGACTGCGGGAACTGTGGGATAGCTATCCACAGTGCAACGCTCCGGAAGTCGACGCTTGCCTCGGTACTGTGGAAGCGCTCCGCCGAGTTAATGCACTTAATGCACTTAGAGCATTTTCTGTGGGGACACACACACTCGAATTTATAAAACCGATTTCTAAAAAACCGACTTCTATAAATTCGACCTTATTCCGTAGTGTAGACATAGGAGGGAATGGGATAGGGTGTGTTGAAGCAAGCAGCCAATTAGCACAGGACAGAGAAAGTAAGCTCAAAACTGTAGAAAGGTATCTGACTGTTCAGAGGCCCTGATTTTCTGGCTGCTGCTCCTGGCCAGAGGTAGACTTCTCGTGTGACCTTTGCTGAGTCATTTAGTTTCTGCATGCCTCAGTTCCTTCTCTGTAAAATGGGAATAATAGTACTTATCCTCACAACAACTCTACCACACAGGCGCCCACTTTCCAATGTGCCGGTGGGTGCTCGATCCCCAGCTCTGTCCCAGGCCCAGCCTCCACTGCACCTCTTCCTCCAAGGCCCCACCTCTTCCCGCCCCATTCTGCCTCCTCCCCCACAGAGTCTCCTGCATGCCACGTAACCACTGATCGTGACTGGTGGGAGGCACGGGGAGGGAGGGTGAGGTGTTGATTGGTGGGCAGGAGGCGCTGGGGGGAGGGAGAGGTGCTGATGGGAGGGCTGCTGGTGGGTGCTCTGCACCCATCTTTTTTTTTTTTTTTTTCTTCCCTCTGTAGGTGCTCCAGCCCCGGAGCACCCAGAGAGTCAGCGCCTATGCACACGGGGGGGTTGTGAGGATATATGCATTAAAGATTGAGAGGAGCTCAGACACAATGGTAATGGGGGCCATGTACGCACCTAAAATCGATATCTAGATAGGCAAGCTGCAATTTGCACTGGTGCAGTTTAGCCATGCTTGAAACCAGGGAAAATATTGCAGTAATGCAAATAGCAGGTTGGCTGATCTACCATAGGGTTTGCACTGGTGCAGCTGGCCATCAATGGCAATAACTGGGGCACATTCCCAGTGTAAACAAGGGCTGGAATGAGGAAACAAAGTGTGTGAGCAGTGGCTGTTTTAAGGTAAAACAGTGGCTTCTACGCTCTATGCCTAACTGCTTCCTTACCCAGCAATGTGTGCGCAACTTGGTTGGCAAGGGAAACACAATCACTTATCTGAGGAGGGACTGAGGGGAAGAGAGCGGAAGAGTGAAGAGGCTGGGAAGAAATGGGTTCATGTGTTCCCTTTATTTTTCCAGATCATTTCAAAGGCCTTTCAGCAAAATGGCTCTGAAGTGAATTAATTACAGGGATAGGGTTATTCATATATAAACATGTGAGTTTGTTTTCTCTTTTTTCCTGTTAGTGGCAGCTTTCCTCTGAAAAATGACCAATAAACCCCTATTTCTTAATCCCCAAACTTCAGTCAGAATGAAATCATGGCAAATCTCAGTGGATTTAGTGATTTAAATTGAGCCTCTTTTAAAAAAAACAAAAACTACTATTAAAATATCTGGACAAAACTCAGGCAGTGTGCTTTTGCTATGCTCAGCCCTTCCACGGTCTCCAAGTTATTCCTGGCATGCTGCTGTTTTACATAATATTGGTGCTATGAAGCCTCTTTAGGTGAAGAGGCAGAGATTAATGAGCCACATGGAAACCCTAATTTGTCTGAGTTAGAGGAGATTAATTATGTTAATGGTCTAAGCAAAGTAATCTAGAGGCTAGAAATGTTCATTCAGTGTCGCCCTTAGAATTGTTGGACTTGTATTTAAACTCTGTGAAAAGAGAATCTGAAAATAAGTGATGTATTTTATTTACCAAATGGGAGCGCTATTCTTTTTCTCCGTGCATCAATACCTATAGGAGTTGTGTATGTGTATGGGGAGGATAATAGATCCCTCATTATTTAATAATATTTTACATTTCTCTATTACCTCCTATCCCAGGGGTTCTCAAACTGGGGGTCGTGACACCTCACGGGGTTGCGAGCTGTCAGCTCTGTGGGGCTGACAGCCCCGAGCCCCCATTAAATTAAATTCCTCCTCCCCCCATTTTTAATTTATAAGGGGGGGTCACACTCAGAGGCTTGCTGTGTGAAAGGGGTCACCAATACAGAAAGTTTTTGAAAACCACTGTCCTAGCCTCAGGGATCCCCAAATGCTTCCGAAACAATGCATTTCAGTCACCACTGAAGTCCAGCCGCTTCTGGAGTGAAATACAGTAGCTGTTTAACTTTCAAGGAGCTGGCTAGTCTTCCAGAAATGTTGTGCACTATTGCCAGCAGTATCAAAAGTCGCCTCTGATGCTGAGTGCCTCCACTTTTAATTGAGATCCTTGGAGCCTGAGTTTCAGAAGTGCTGAGTATCTATGGCTGAAGTCAGCGGGAGCTGGGGCTGTGCAGTACCTCTGAAAATCAGGCCCTGGGTGTGACAAACTGGGCACACAAAATCTGTGGCCACATTTGAAAATGTGGCTGTTAAAGACTGCTCAGTTCCTGTGGGGTTGGGGAAGCCTGTAAAGGAGCTAGGCTAAGACGAAAGAAGGATCTATGGCTAGGAGAGTGGGAGCTGGAGAATCAGTATTCTTGAGCGAGGCAATGCTCACCCGTGCTCTACCTCACCTGCATTGGGAAAAGTCCCTCCTCCCCTGGCCTGCCTTCCTACTGTTCCCAGGTCCCATCCCCTGCCTCCCTTGTGGAAGTCTGGATGGCAGACGGAGAGGAGCATCAGTTGCCAGGAGCAGAACAGAGCTGGCATGGTGCCAAGAGTGACTCCATGATGAAGAGGCTACTGCCTCAGGAGGTAAGGTGGGCAGGGAGTGCAGCGTTCCTCTCCATTTGGGGGAGTCCCTTTCTCTTGCCTATTGTGGCGATGTTAGTGGTCTAGAGAAGTGAAAGAAGACACTTTCTGCTGTTGGGAGGATTAAACAGGAAGGGAGCTGAGAGTGGGGTGATGGAGAGAGGGAGGAGAAACTGCTCCTATCCCTTCTCTGGAATCTTAAGGATGGGTGTAAGAATGTGACGGTGATGTGAAAGCTCTTGAAGCATGGCTGTAACATGTACCTCCCATCACTAGATAATTCTGTACAGTAGCTTTGGTGGGGAAGGGGTGGCAGTGAGTGAACCTCAAACATGGAGGTTTGACATTATTACACCATAGTTAAAGTTGCGACTAGCTTTTGTTTTAAAACTATTTTGTCACTCCTGTAATTATAAATCTGTTCCAGAGAGTATGAGAAACCAGAGTTTGGGGCTGAGAGGAGCCACAGCATTCAGGAATTTAAGACAAACAGATGGAAGATGCCAAGACAAGTACTTTAACAGCTGGGAACTGGAATACAGGCTGTGTTGTGTCCTGGTTTGACTCGAGGGAATTTGGGTTCTCCTGAGACTCGTATGGAAATGACTGGAACATGCATCTGCTAGGGAGGTTTGTTATCACAGCATTGCAAGGTGAAATTGTTTTATCTTTCTGACTTTAAATTTTTGTTTTTATTTTCAGCTCTTCAGATTTCGGAAAGTTCAGTTGGAAAGAGCAGCTGTGCTTGTTGGCATTAGCTTTGATTCATAAAAGATACAGGTGTGCTGCCAAAAAATCCTAAACTGAAAGGAAATCGGGTTACATGAGTAAAGATCAACACTACACAGAAACACTACCCTGTAGTGTAAGACAAGAAGTGAAGAGCTGTGTGCCCAGCTGAAAGCTGAGGGCATGCAGCTGCCCAAGTTGGAATCTGGCCAAGACTTGTGAGCCAACACCACTCGTTCAATATAATATATAGGGTTGGAGATAGAAGACTTGAAGCAGGTTGGGTTTCTCAGCCCCTGTTCATTCTTCAGCTTCATATTTCGTAGGTGGTCTTATCTCCACATTCCCTTCCCTTTTGGTGGTTCTCCCTTACTCATGGATTTATTTTATACACAGTTGTGGGTTTTGAGAGGATGGGGCCACTTCTTCAGTAAAGGAATCTTCCATAATCTTCTAGGAGTATGAGAGAGAGAGAGAGTCAAATAGCTTCTTTTAGCAGCAGCCATGGTGGAAATATTCTGCCCACCTCCCCAGAGAGGGGAGGGCAGTGTGCCCACAGCAGATTTTAATGTATTCGTCAACACCAGACAGGTTCTGATTAACCACAGTTGTGTCTTCCAGTGGAGCGTAATGATTAGGTCCATCCATCCTTTCTATCACTGCATGCTCCCTTCCAAACAAACCTCATCAGTCAGTTATTCTCCATTAGACCTTTATCAGACAGCATTTAAACTGCCACTTGAAATCAGCCACACTGAGTCTATTATTGGCATTTCCACTTCTGTTTCCAGTTCTGAGTTTTTCAAATTGATGAACCTCCATTATCATTGTATATATTCTCCTCCTGTGACCTCAGAACCTTCAGCCAGTTCTCTTGTATTTGTATGTCTCAGTATTAACCCCTTGTTCTCTCTTCTCTCCTTGCTCTCTCTGGCTTTCAAGGGGAGACTCAGTGCTGTGCAAGCAGGAAGGTGAGTGGGATATAGAGGCTATTCAGCCCAAGCAGAAGTGCCTAGAGACATGACTCAGCCAGAATACCTCTGGGAGTAAAAGTCAACAGGCACCGCAATACCTATTTAAAGGGTGAAGCATGTGCTCTCCCACAGTGCTTGCCCCTGCTTCACTGGCCATAGTAGAAGGTTCACAGCACTGGCTGTGCCTCTCTGTGATGCCACACACCACTCTCTGAGGAAGGTCACGCATTTGATGAAAAACCTTGGATAGTGTCTAAAATATTGTGGCAAATTATGTTTGATGTTAAGCAAGTATGACTGTCTGAGTATTTACGGTCTAAAGTAATATCAGAGCAGTCTATCTGAGAGACCACCTGCAGCCTTCTGTCCTGTCAACTGACTGTAGGAATTGCTCATCCCACTATAGAGTTTTGAAAGGACAGGAGGCATGGCCTTCTCTATCAAGGTCCTGTACCTCTGGAATGCTTTCCTCCTTAATTTACACCTAGGCAATGATGATTTTACATTTCACCATAGCATCTTTTATCCTAAAAGATCTCAAAATGCTTTACAAATTGAAATCAACACACAAACTGCACATAGGACATGCTTAATCCATAGCTGAAATGTGACCATCTCCAGGATGAAAACAACTAACTTCAGTAACACAAAGCAACATTACACAACAGGTTAGGATAGGAAGTGAAGAGTACCTTTTCCAAGTGAAACTGTTTGGGGAGTTTTTAGGTAGGCAGCACATAATGGAATTTTGGTCAGGACACTGGGTGATCTTTACTGGCCTTTATTTTTATAAGGAGTGCCAAGCATTCATGTCTTCTCTCTGTCTTTGTTTTATCTGAAAGGTTGCACTTACAGTTGCATGGGGCTTCCACACACCTTGCTAAGCCATTGGTTCAATATTAACTCATAGCCCTGGTCTACACTAGGAGTTGAGGTCAAATTTAGCAGCATTAAATCGATTTAACCCTGCACCCGTCCACACGACGAAGCCCTTTTTTTCGACTTAAAGGGCTCTTAAAATTGATTTCCTTACTCCACCCCCGACAAGGGGATTAGCGCTGAAATCGGCCTTGACAGGTCGAATTTGGGGTACTGTGGATGCAATTAGATGGTATTGGCCTCCGGGAGCTATCCCAGAGTGCTCCATTGTGACCGCTCTGGATAGCACTCTCAACTCAGATGCACTGGCCAGGTAGACAGGAGAAGGCCCGCAAACTTTTGAATTTCAATTTCCTGTTTGGCCAGTGTGGCAAGCTGCAGATGAGTGTAGAGCTCATCAGCAGAGGTGATCATGATGGAGTCCCAGAATCGCAAAAGAGCTCCAGCATGGACCGAATGGGAGGTATGGGATCTGATCGCTGTATGGGGAGAGGAATCTGTGCTATCAGAACTCCGTTCCAGTTTTCGAAATACCAAAACATTTGTCAAAATCTCCCAGGGCGTGAAGGACAGAGGCCATAACAGGGACCCAAATCAGTGCCACGTGAAACTTAAGGAGCTGAGACAAGTCTACCAGAAAACCAGAGAGGCAAACGGCCGCTCCGGGTCAGAGCCCCCAACATGCCACTTCTATGATGAGCTGCATGCCATTTTAGGGGGTTCAGCCACCACTACCCCAGCCATGTTGTTTGACTCCTTCAATGGAGATGGAGGCAACACGGAAGCAGGTTTTGGGGACGAAGAAGATGATGATGATGAGGTTGTAGATAGCTCACAGCAAGCAAGCGGAGAAACCGGTTTTCCCGACAGCCAGGAACTGTTTCTCACCCAGGACCTTGAGCCAGTACCCCCCGAACCCACCCAAGTCTGCCTCCCGGACCCGCCAGGCGGAGAAGGGACCTCTGGTCATTGTACCTTTTAAAATACTATACATGGTTTAAAAGCAAGCATGTTTAATGATTAATTTGCCCTGGCATTCGCGGCTCTCCTGGATGTACTCCCAAAGCCTTTGCAAAAGGTTTCTGGGGAGGGCAGCCTTATTCCGTCCACCACGGTAGGACACTTTACCACTCCAGGCCAGTAGCACATACTCGGGAATTATTGTAGAACAAAGCATTGCAGTGTATGTTTGCTGACATTCAAACAACATCCATTCTTTATCTCTCTGTGTTATCCTCAGGAGAGTGATATCATTCATGGTCACCTGGTTGAAATAGGGTGCTTTTCTTAAAGGGACATTCAGAGGTGCGTGTTCCTGCTGGGCTGTTTGCCTGTGGCTGAACAGAAATGTTCCCTGCTGTTAGCCATGGGGATGGGGGAGTGGCTAGCCACGTGGTGGGGGGAGGCAAAATGCGACCTTGGAATGAAAGCACATGTGCTGTGTATGTAATGTTAACAGCAAGGTTTACCATGAAAGAGTGTACCCATTGTTCTATAAAATGTGTCTTTTTAAATACCACTGTCCCTTTTTTTTTCTCCACCAGCTACATGTGTTTCAAGCATCACAGGATCTTCTCCTTCCCAGAGGCTAGTGAAGATTAGAAGGCGAAAAAAATGCACTCGCGACGAAATGTTCTCTGAACTCATGCTGTCCTCCCACTCTGACAGAGCACAGATGAATGCATGGAGGCAGACAATGTCAGAGTGCAGGAAAGCACAAAATGACCAGGAGGAGAGGTGGCGGGCTGAAGAAAGTAAGTGGCGGGCTGAAGCTGAAAGGTGGTGGCAGCATGATGAGAGGAGGCAGGAGTCAATGCTGAGGCTGCTGGAGGATCAAACTAATATGCTCCAGCATATGGTTGAGCTGCAGGAAAGGCAGCTGGAGCACAGACCGCCGCTACAGCCCCTGTGTAACCAACCGCCCTCCTCCCCAAGTTCCATAGCTTCCTCACCCAGACGCCCAAGAATGCGGTGGGGGGGCCTCCGGCCACCCAGCCACTCCACCCCAGAGGATTGCCCAAGCAACAGAAGGCTGGCATTCAATAAGTTTTAAAGTTTTAAACTTTTAAAGTGCTGTGTGACCTTGTCCTTCTCTACTCCACCACCCCTCCTGGGCTACCTTGGTAGTTATCCCCCTATTTGTGTGATGAATGAATAAAGAATACATGAATGTGAAGCAACAATGACTTTATTGCCTCTGCAAGTGGTGATCAAAGGGAGGAGGGGAGGGTGGTTAGCTTACAGGGAAGTAGAGTGAACCAAGGGGAGGGTGTTTCATCGAGGAGAAACAAACAGAACTTTCACACTGTAAGCCTGGCCAGTCATGAAAGTGGTTTTCAAAGCTTCTCTGATGCGCACCGTGCCCTCCTGTGCTCTTCTAACCGCCCTGGTGTCTGGCTGCGCGTAACCAGCAGCCAGGCGATTTGCCTCAACCTCCCACCCCACCTTAAATGTCTCCCCCTTACTCTCACAGATATTGTGGAGCACACAGCAAGCAGTAATAACAGTGGGAATATTGGTTTCGCTGAGGTCTAACTGAGTCAGTAAACTGCACCAGTGCGCTTTTAAACGTCCAAATGCACATTCTACCACCATTCTGCACTTGCTCAGCCTGTAGTTGAACAGCTCCTGACTACTGTCCAGGCTGCCTGTGTATGGCTTCATGAGCCATGGCATTAAGGGGTAAGCTGGGTCCCCAAGGATACATATAGGCATTTCAATGTCCCCAATGGTTATTTTCTGATCTGGGAACAAAGTCCCTTCTTGCAGCTTTTGAAACAGACCAGAGTTCCTGAAGATGCAAGCGTCATGTACCTTTCCTGGCCATCCCACATTGATGTTGGTGAAACGTCCCTTGTAATCCATCAGTGCTTGCAGCACTATTGAAAAGTACCCCTTGTGGTTTATGTACTCGCCGGCTTGGTGCTCTGGTGCCAAGATAGGGATATGGGTTCCGTCTATGGCCCCACCACAGCTAGGGAATCCATTGCAGCAAAGCCATCCTCTATGACCTGCACATTTCCCAGGGTCACTAAACCTTGATAGCAGCAGATCTTTGTTTGCGTTGGCTACTTGCATCACAGCAGCCCCCACAGTAGATTTGCCAACTCCAAATTGATTCCCGACTTACTGGTAGCTGACTGACGTTGCAAGCTTCCACAGGGCTATTGCCACTTGCTTCTCAACTGTGAGGGCTGCTCTCATCTTGGTATTCATGCGCTTCAGGGCAGGGGAAAGCAAGTCACAAAGTTCCATGAACGTGCCCTTACGCATGCGAAAGTTTCACAACCACTGGGAATCGTCCCAGACCTGCATCACTATGTGGGCCCACCAGTCTGTGCTTGTTTCCCAAGCCCAGAATCAGTGTTCCACCACATGAACCTGCCCCATTAGCACCATGATGCCCACATTGCCAGGGCCCGTGCTTTGAGAGAAGTCTGTGTCCATGTCCTCATCACTCTCCTCACTGCACTGTCGTTGCCTACTCACCCAGTTTCACTTTGCCAGGTTCTGATGCTGCATATACTGCTGGATAATGCACGTGGTGTTTAATGTGCTCCTAATGGCCAAAGTGATCTAAGCGGACTCCGTGGTATGGCATCTGCACGGAAAAAAGGCACAGAACGATTGTCTGCCATTGCTCTGACAGAGGGAGGGGGGCGACTGATGACATGGCTTACAGGTTTGGCTTACAGGGAATTAAAATCAACAAAGCGGTTGGCTTTATATCAAGGAGAAACAAAAACAACTGTCACACAGAATGGCCCCCTCAAGGATTGAGCTCAAACCCGTGGGTTTAGCAGGCCAATACTCAACCCACTAAGCCATCCCTTCCTCTGGTATTTCAGCCAGGACTGAATCTCCATTGAAGTTTTCAAGGTGCCCCTGACAGACCTCACCAAAACGATTGTCAGCCGTTGATTTCATGGAGGGAGGGAGGAGGGAGCAAATGAATAAAAAACAAATCTCGTCGATTTCTTGTTTTGATCCACTCCATCTATCTTTTACATCTTTGGCTGGCAACAGACGGTGCAGTAGGACAGCAAGCCATCCACATCTCCTGCCTGCCTAGCAGAAGATGGTGCAATAGGACTGCTAGCCATCCTCATCTCCTGCCTGTCTGGCAGAAGATGGTACAATAGGACTGCTAGCCATCCTCATCTCCTGCCTGCTCACCATAAGATGGTACAATAGGACTGCCTGCAGGACTAAAGAGAATGACCTGGTTGAGTCACTCCTAATTTAGTCCCTGCACCCATGTCTGCCCAGGTGCTCCTGACCGACCTTACCAAGGCGGCCAGGAGCACCTCAGACACGATGACGATGGTTTTCAGACCTACTGCACCGTCTGCTGCCACAAGGCAATGGGTTGCTGCTGCTGTGTAGCAATGCTGTACCACGTCTGCCAGCACCCAGGAGACATACGGTGACAGTGAGCTGAGCAGGCTCCATGCTTGCCGTGGTATGGCGTCTGCACAGGTAACTCAGGAAAAAAGGCTCAAAACGATTGTCTGCCGTTGCTTTCACGGAGGGAGGGAGGGAAGGGGGGCCTGACGACATGTACCCAGAACCACCCGCAACAATGTTTTTTGCCCCATCAGGCATTGGGATCTCAACCCAGAATTCCAATGGGCAGCGGAGACTGCGGGAACTGTGGGATAGCTACCCACAGTGCAACGCTCCGGAAGTCGACTCTAGCCTCGGTACTGTGGAAGCACTCCGCCGAGTTAATGCACTTAGAGCATTTTGTGTGGGGACACACATAATCAACTATATAAAAACGATTTCTAAAAAAACCGACTTCTATAAATTCGACCTAATTTCGTAGTGTAGACATACCCATAGAGAAGAATGCCACATCTGACTTACCACCGTCACTTTCTGCAGCATCTAAGTATTTCTTCAAGGTCTCTGATCCAAGCATTAAACTAAATGGGATTGATCTAGATGATCTGACTGAATCATATCTGTGACATCCTTTCAGTAAGGGGCTTGATTCCCTCCTCCACTGCCCCATAGGCACAGGGTTTGCAAGTTGAACTTCCCTGTGTCTGCAGTTGCACCGTTGGACACATTCAGTTCCAGTGATGGGCAGGCGCTGGTGCCATCCTCCTTTGGGACTCCTGATGAAGAGCAGAAGTTTTTAACACCAGCTAGGACTCCAGAGAAGCCACAGCACAAGTGGCTCCCTAGGAGATGCATTGAATCAGCACATCTAGCTCCGTACCCTTCTGAAAGAATTGGGTTTGAGGGCACCTTGAGCTCCTCCAGGCAGATTTTTCTGCCTTTTGAGCATGTGTAACCAGGGTTCTGCTGACAAGAATGGATTGGGCTTGAAGATTTGGGTTTTTTGATTAGCTGTGGCTGAGGGCTTGTTCTGACGGTTGGGCTAGCAAAATTTCTTTAAGTCAGTTGCAGAATTCATTGAAAATGCCATATAGTGGTTGCTAGCCACTCCTCAGGCACTTCCTCTCTTAATACTTAGACTGGACCTGTTGCACTTGGCAGGGTCCGGGGCAACCAGCCAATCCACCTATTTAGGTTTTGGTCTGGAACCAGGGAAAAGGCTGTCAACCATTCTTGAGGGAGGGAGAGAGGCTAACTTGGACCCCTCCTTACGAAGTAAAATAGAAAGAGGGTGAGTTTGTCATCCTCCCTTAGATAGACACAGGGTGGGGAAGGAGAAAGGGGCTCATTGCCTTTGAAGGAAGAGGGACCCAGTGCTTTTAATATACAAAGCTTTTGTCCTTACCTAGTCAGCGGTAAGAGTAACAAACTGTAGAGCTTAAAGACAGCTTGAAAAAGTAGTGAGTCATGTGGCAGCTATAAGTCAGTTTTTTGCATTATTTGGGGTAATTATTAGGACTGCAGTTCATTTCTCTTTTCTGGTTCATTTAGTGATGCATTTTGTTATTTCAGTTTTTTGTTTCTTTAAACAATTAACTTACACCTTATTTTTGGTCAATAAATCTTACACCTTCTGGTAAGCTATTTCATGTGGCTGCCTCTGGGATTCCCTAGCACTGCATCTGCAGTACTTCCAAGCATGCACATGCTGCCATTTTCCCACTAAGACTTATATTATACAGTTTGCGAGTGAGGCAGGGGTGTTCAGACATGCAGGGACACCCTATACATGAACTGCATGATACATATTATTTTATTTGCTGACAAATAACTGCTCTGGCAGATTTTCATGCACAAAAGCTTTGTCCTGTGCAATGTGAGGGTTTTGTAAAATGCAAGGTGTGCGTAGATGTTAACAAAACTCAAAGGATAAAGATGTACATTATTTATTTATTGACCATGACAAGAACAGAATAGCCTTATGCATTTCTATTTATAATTATTTCAACACTGTAAAAGTGGTCTGATGAAGCGCAGTGTTGGGGCAAGATACCACAAAGTTACACTGAAGTTTGACATAGCCATTGTGAAAATTACTACTGACATAGAGCATCCTTAGCAGTTCGGGAAGCTGTCGAGAACTTGCTCAGATGCTGAATGTCACCAACCAGGCTTGCCATCTGGCTGCCAATGGTTTGCAGCTCCTGGGCCACTTTGCCTACATCCCCTCGCAGTCCCAGAACTGCATTTTTTATCTCCTCCAAAGTGCCCAGGGCTTTCTGTGTAGTGCCCCCATTAGGTGACCCTCCAGCAGAAGGCATACTGCGGCTAGCCACAGGATCTACATTCTGCACAGGAAATGCCCCCCAACTCCCACCAGAAATGCGGAGAATTCTGCTCTCAAAACTGTTCACTTTTCCAGCGCAATGTCTCGAATTATCTGGGAGGAGATTCAGGATGCTGGTGTTTTCATTCTCCTCTTCCTCAGATCTTTGGCAAGAAAAAGGATGTGTAACCCTGTCCTTGAGATCATTAAAGAAAACAGAAGAGGAGAGCTTGTGAGGTGAAGACAAGCTTGAAGGTCCACAGGAAGGGATAAGGTTAGGCTGAACTATGTTCTCTGGAACAACTGAATCTGGGGATGAGATGGAAAAGGTGGAAAAAGAGGAAGTTGTTGCCATGGAGCTGGTCGAATCTAAAACATATGTAAAAGAGAAAATAAAATGAACACTACAGTCTTTGCATAAAATTAATGTTAGTAGTAGTAAATTATTTATACTAAG